TGGCGTCTAGCTGTGTAACTACAGTGGTCACCTACAGTATCTAGAGCCAGTTTTTGGTTTGTCCCTTCTGTGTTACTGTAGAAACGTGACGGACTCCATGGAAGGCAACCCATGACGTCTGTGTCTACGTCTCATTCTAAGGTAACGAAACGAACAATTCCTATATTCAAGAGATTATACACTAATGTGAACATACCTACTAATATTATATTCCATTTCCGCCAATAGATCCTTCTAAACGTTACACACTGGACCTTTAAAGGATCTGAGTACTTCTTCCACCAGTGTAGAGTGTAGTTGAGTATAAGAGGAAGTAGATAAGGAAGAGACTTTGACTCTGAATTAAGAACTCCTTCTGGTACACCTTTTTATAAAGAAATTATTTTATTATGAACATACATATCTTCTGACATCAGCATGTACACACACTGAGAGATGCAGATCTATCTGTACAATACAAATTTCATGTGTGTATGAGAGTATTGACAAGCAATGTCGATAAGGTGCTGTAGATATAATGATAATATATAATCTTGTTTGACTATCTTGTAGACACACCTCTTACCTTATTTGATAAGTACAAATGTGTATTTCCTCTTCCAAAGCAAACCTCTTAACAGCAACCTGCTAAATGAACCATTAACTACTGTCTGTATTACCACTAATGTACTCTACTACTACTACTGTATTTGTATGTATGGACAGTGATAAAACACCAAGAAATAGAAGGCTTTTGTTTAGATGCCAGCAGCACACATCTGCCGCATTCCTCCCCACAGCTTGACACACCTCATTGAAAAACCAGGTGTTTTTACTGCCATGAATAAGGAACAATTACTTCTGGGACATCACTGTTTGAACTGTGACCCAACAGAGAACACGAAGCAGCTTTTTCAGCAGTTTTTTCGCCCTATATTATTCACCGCCAACTTTAAAACTTGCTGCTGTTCACATAATTTGTTAAATGTGGCCATAGTCAGATTGTAGTGTGAACAGGTCACAGTCCTGATATGACCCGCATGAGGAACGTAGATCTAAAGTGGCATACAAGTCACATAAATTCTGATATGACCGTTCAAACTGAGGTTTTATTGCAAAAAAAAAAAAACAATCACACATGTATCTGATTTGGACCACATATGAAAGTGGCCCAAATCAGAAATGAAAATATTGAGATTCCGTGGGATTTGTGCTGTTCTCTGTCATAAAAACAACAACAACAAAAGAACAGATCTGAGTCACATATGAACAAAAATATCTGATTTGAGCCACCTGCAGTGTGAATGTAGAGTTTTATTTGAAGTTGCATTCAAGAGCAAGTCCTTATTTTTGTGGATCCTGCCCTCTGCTGTCAGTAACTGTTCATTACATGTGCAGGAAGCCACTATTAAACTACTGTACTGTTAACTTTGATGCAACAGTAATTATATATTATCAATATGGGTATATTTTGGCACTAAAACTGTAGGTGGAAGATAACATAATACATTTTATACAGGTTAGTCCTAATTCTACCCTGTCCTACTGTAGTTCAGCCTTTTCACACTTCGCTCAGCGTTTCGCTGAAGAATCCCCCCTGCAACCGTAGCCTAGATCCAGAGTAAGGGTTATTCCACCATCTGCATGCAGTTAGCCCTCTATGGAAGGCACAAGGCTTTGTTTTACAAGAAGTGGGTTATATCGCAACACAATGAAACACACTCATTCTGCATGACTACACAATGCCTCACAACTGTGTGTTGTTTACAAAGGGGAAATAAACAAAGGTGTAATGCTCACAGAGACGAATAGCCTGTACACACACACAATGATTACAATCCACTCAGCCAGGTACTATTCTGAGCAACGGCTACCTGACTCAGTGGTTTGTTAAACAAAATGGTTGTAGCCTAGTTTGTACAATTGTCACCTATTGAGTCATGAGTAGAGCTGGGGTAACACCGTGGGCTTTGGGACAATGATATTAGTCCAGACAATGCCTCTACACAGCTTGGGTCTGTTCCACAAGTTTCAGTCATGTTATAAAGATATAAGATAATATAAAAGTGATTTATGAAAAGCAGAGGTTTTACAGTAAAATCTCAGGAGATAAAACAACCGTTAAATGTTGTAAATCAAAACCACAGACAAAAAGAGTTACAAATTCATATAGAATTTATTATTAAGTCATGATATACTAAATATAATCAATCACTATGCAGAAATATAAACATCTTATAGAATATGTTGATGTAATACATTACAGAAATAGTAAAATAAATACTATTAAAGCATAGTTTAAAAACCCTAAAAACAGTTTTAGTAAGTTTGTAAGGCTTATAGGTCCTGAAACAAGTGTTTAAATAAACCATTTGATGGAAATAACACATTGTGCTTACACTACCAGCATTCAAGTCAACTAAACTAATATTATGAGAAGTAAAAATCAGTGTCGAAGCAACTCAAACAAGGACATAAAATTACTGTAGCCTTGGAACATCTGAAGAGACAATGACATCCTACTGTACTACGAACAATGATTCAAAAAATGTCACAGTGCCTTTCCCCGACACTAAAGTACAATACTGGAATCACATGTGATGGACCGATTTTTTGAATTGGTTTTCACACTTTGACATGATGATCCTATTAATTATATCCCAGGGCTTGTCGTACAATGAACCCAAATTAATCATTTAACTATATTCTGCTCTTTAAAGCCAGTGGGCAGGATCACAATTACATTTTTATTAATAATTGGTATTGTGTAAATATCATATCAGCACAATCCTAATCAGAATAGCCTAACCTCTTCTTGCATAATGTTTGTGCACATTGAAATCAAATACTCTACTCTCACAGGACAGTGTTTTGTCCTGCATAGAAGCTTTTATTTAAGCTTAACCTACTGTGCCGTGCCCTATAGGACAATGGTAAATCTAAATATTGTCTTTGGAATCTGTTTACCCTCGTAAAGAAAAGGATTAAAGAAAAAACGCACACATCACCGTCACAATCTGAATAAACAAAACAATAATGTGCAAACTTAATAGTGATACACAGTTTACTTCATAAAAGTAATAACTATAACTGGAGGCAAGTCTGATGATGCAGCAGTGCTGACAGAGTTCTCAACAGGTTGAACGAGAACAGAAACAGCAGCATGTGGAAAAACATTAATAGCAGTCTATCAACACTAATTGCCTTCCTTTTCTAGCACCTAATTAAACATTTCTGCAACAGAGGACTGCAGTTGCACTCACACATCATGACAGTGGGAAGCTCCCTGCTAAATGCTAAAAATACAGGATGATTTATACCACACATAAACACAGAACACGCAAGGGCCTGTGCTAGAGACCCACACCCCTTGAAATAAGTTTCTACAAACAGTAACACATAAAGAACACCTTTGATTCACAGTGCAGCTGAGGAGAGCGGCGCACAAGGCAACCTCTTAGTGTGAAAGGACAAAAAACTATATTGCATCATTATTATCATTATTACATAATAAAGCACGTATATATACTTTATCATATAATAATGTATATATAACAATATATAAAGCAATATGCTTTTAGCAATAATTGCAATAAAAATGTAAATTAATACGATATATTTTAAAGGACCAGTGCGTAGGATTTAGTGCCATCTAGCAGCTCCCTTGCTTTACACTCCCTTTGCTCCTAGTGCAAAGAAGAAACTACGGCGGACACGAAACAGGTGAAAAACAAGCCAGTGTTTGGTTTGTCCATTCAGGGCTATGGTAGAAACACAGCGGTTCAACATGGCAGCCTCCACGGAAGGGGTCCCGTGGATAAAAACAGCTCATTCTGAGGTAACAAGAACATATAATTCTTATTTTCAAGTGACTATACACAAATGAAAACATACCTATGAGTATTATATCCAATTTCTGCCAGTAAATCCATCTAAATATTACACACTGGACCTTTAAGACTATTTTTAAGACTTTTTTTTTTTTCTTCTGGAAGTTTAACTTATCCACATTGCCCAAAACTCTTGATTCACCACCTGGACAAACCTGGACCTCAACTTGGCACAAGAACCACAGGTGGCTGTTTTAAGTCACAGAGGATGTCACAAAAACAATGATATTCAAGTGTAAAACCTAAGCATCATCTTTCATCTCTCTTAGGTCCTTGAATTAATTGAGGTTGTTATCGTCTAGCAATCCTTGTGTGCAGCTGTTAGGAGGATCATCATTTGTTAAATTATACTGACAGGTCACTGACACTTTTTCTACCCTCTGGCAAAGACAAAGTGCAATCCTTTGAGCATCATAGAAAATATATTTTTAGACTGCTGAGAACACAAATTTGATGCTCCAGTTCTAAGAAGACATTAAGTGCTAGCCAGCATGAGAGAGTTGACTCCTCCTGAGATTATGAAGAAATCTGTGTGGCCTTTGTGGGTCATGTCTTAGGTGCCTCATTAAAAATAATGTTAATCTTTGATTTCTTCACACAGGCATTTTAAAAATCAGTTTATCTGATCTGTTTTTTCAGAAGCACCTCACTTCATATACATATTAATATTCACAATCACACCTGAGAGCTGCACAGTACGAGTTGCTGGTTGCTGAGCAGCTCCACTAAGTGAATCTGGAGGTTAAAGTTCCCTACTTAAGGCACTTCAAAGATATTATTAAGAAATGATTAGCAATGGATTGGAAAATAATAGATATTAAGCCTATTGTATTTTATAATATAATATTATAATAAGAAATATATCACAAATGAATAACTGTATAAGAACACTGGGTTGGATTTAGGTGTAATTCGAATGGGCATTACAAGCAGTTAGGCAAGGGATCCCTGAGATAATTCTACAGCATGACCTTGTATTTAAGGAAATATTTTAGGATTTAATTTTCAGTTTTTATATTTCTTTTTCTTGTTGACTTAAATATTTTCAGCATCTTTGTAATAAACATTTCATTTGCTAAAAAAAACAACGGAGTGATAGTTGTATTGTCAGTACCACAAATACAGTAAGTCTTTTTTTGCGGATACTCATTTGATAACACCTAGTACATACCACAATAAAATGAAATATGTAGTGTGTTTTTTTTTTTCATGATTACCATGTTGTGTGACACAATATGACTGGTCCCAATGCAGTAAACCTCTTTGGCTATTTCATACAGTTTAAAGGGACTGAGGGTTTCCTTCATCAAACTGCTTCGTTATGGTGAAGTGCAAACTTTCAGTCCCATTTATGCTGTTCATATTTTTATTCAGGAAAAAATAATAAACCTCTGTTGAGTAGGTAGTTAGCTACACAAGCTCCATAGAGCAGGATATGGTTTGGGGCCAGAAACAGTTTTTCCTGCCTCTTATGTATGTGTTAATTGACAAAAAAATAAATGCATAACGATAAATTACCGGTTGACTCTCAGGAATCAACATGTACAGATGTACAGAATTCAATTTTGATTTTAATAACTACCATAAGCTCCTAACTGACCCCTACTAGATTATCATTCTATATTTCTGCCTTTAACTCTGCAACGAGCTCAAACCTGCTCACAGGTTTGCATGTAAATAACAAGTAAAATACAGAATAAATCTAAAACATATGATAGTGAAAAAGGAATAAATAGTAATACCAAAGTATTCTATGTTGCTTCTCCGTCATTTCTTGCGAGAGTTGGTGTACAACTTCCTAAGTGCTACTCCGCTTGTGCTCGCCACTACGCACAGCGCCCCTCCGAGGCTCCACAAGGTCGGTGCACGGTTAAAGAAAATGAACTGGAAGATGAATGCTAGCACCACATCGACAGTCCTCATCAGGGCCACCGGTCCAGCCTTCTCGATCTGTAGTGCCTTTGTGAGGAAGGTCTGGCCTGCAATGCCCAGGACAGCAATCAACATCAGCATCCAGCGATCGCGGCCACAGAATGGGATTTTCCATTCACCAAGGACGGATACAGTGATGATGCACTCAATGAAACCGATGACAGCGTAGTACCAGACAGAGAGGTAGTAATGGACGCTCTTTCCAATCTTGCGAAGAACAACAAATGTAAAAGCAGCCCCAAGAGCGCCTGTGAATGAATAAAAAAAATAAGAGACTGAATGAATACAGCAATCAGAAGAATAATGACAATTATAGGCAAACATATTACACTTAAATTATTTGAGTTAACTTTCACTTGCTAGTTTGTGTCTCTTCAGGTGACCATTGATATTTATATGATTACAAGTAACAACCATAACTTCTGGGAATCACTCCTTAGTTCCACCTGCAATTTTTCTCTACAGTTAAACAGGCAATGTTTCATAACTTCCACCTCCTTTCAAAGCCAGAATGCACTGGACATGTGTTGTAGAGGTCAGCCTATTTTGTGGTCTATTTTTAGGGAGGCAAAATTCAATTCAGTAGCACCTACAAAACAGGAAAAATCAGGGGAATGAACACTGCTATGGCTTGCGTAGCTGCTGAGGAGAGCACAGATGCACTCGCTGTTGAAAATATTGGTCTTTCTCTGTGTGAAAAGAGCGGGGGGGATAGTTAAAGTAAAGCTCCTGATTCACTGGTCGATCTGAAATTGGGGCACATAGTGAGACACTTCAATTTCCAGCTGGATGACTCAACAAAAATATTTGGCACATAATTGTTTGCAGGTGGGAAGCCATTGAGGGATCACAACTTTGTCGCTCAACAGGCGATTCTTGCTGGTTGGAAAATTCAAGTCAATTGTATTTATATAGCCAAAAACTCACAAATTTGCATCAGGGGGCTTCACAATCTATACAGTATACAACAGCCTCCATTCTTTGGCCCCCTAATAAAGAAAAACTCCCACCAAAAAACATTTAACAGGGAAAAAATGGAGGAAACATCAGGAAGAGCAGGAACAGAGGAGGGATCCCACCCACAGGATGGACAGACATGCAATAGATGTCTGTCAAGCAGCTAAAACTAGGTTTTCGGCAGAGTGGATAATGTCACTGTTTGCGACTGTGTAGGGTGCTTATAACACTGAAAGAACCTCAACCCAACACTTTCTCACACAGAGAGGAGCTATTCGACCACCACAACTGGATGGAGAACCTCAGAATAGAACTAATTGGTAAGACTGAATCTCCCAGTGGACCCAGATGTGCCAGGGGACTTTGCTGTATTGCCTTTGATCTACTTATTATGGTCAAACAAACTTTAGCGCTATACACACGCAGTATGTAGAGTTTTGTAATCGTATCACCTGCAAAGGCAGCAATAGTCCCCTTGATGTGGTTAGCGTAGTTGCCCTCAATGCCACGTACATCCTCGCCAAAGATGAATGGTGGTCGGGCGATAAGGATGACTCCAGTGAGGGTAAAAACGGTGAACACACAGTCCCAGATTGTACATCTCTCCTTCAGGAAGACCCAAGCCAGGAGGGAAGTAAAGACTGGATTACTAAGGAGTTGGACAATGGAAGAATAACAGTAAATAATACATAATAAGAGTAATACATGTATCGCTACAGCTGAATAAGTTCAAGTTAAGAAAAAAGTGGTGAGAAATGTCAATTAATGTCTCAGCAGACTTGTCTCATATGAGGTAAACAGCTCTATTTAAATCCACTTTGCCAGATCTTTAATAAATAACTGACAGAATATTGAAAAGATAAATAAATGAGGGGGAAGAATCAACCACAATCGATTAAGATCCTACATACTCTCACCTGAACATGATGACGGTGGCATCCGCTAACGGCATCTGCTGAACAGCATAGAAGAGCAGGATCATAGCATTGGAACCAATGAAACCCCGAAGCACCAGATATATACGTTTATCTCTGGGACCAAGGAAACCTGTCCTGGAGGAGCAGAGATATGAGGATGACGGATGAATGAATGACTAGATGGATGGATGATTAGATAGAAAGACCAAATTTTAGAAAGAGACGGATCGAGAGGAATTGAGCAGCAAAGTGAGCTGAGAGATGACAGACGGGTAGATTTAGGCAATGTGGAGATGACTGAGATGGATGGACAGAGGAATGGGTGGGGCTGAAAAGAGAGGTGGTTATGAATGAATGTAAAAACAAAGAGGAATGTAGAGGATGGATGGATAGATGAATAGGTAAATGAATGAGTAGCAACATTGGTGCTAGTCTTTGGGAATTAAGTTTAATTTTGATTCTTGGGGTCACAATGTGATTCTTATATAAGTTTTATTTAACAATGCCACTTTAATCATATAAATGGATGGAGAGCAAACATAATGATTGTTAGAAGCCATATTTTATTTCCCTTCATATACTTAGTACTTGTTATTTGGATGATTTGTGGTTTTTTACTGTGTCTGGTGGAGGGCATGTTATTGTATACATTGTGACATAATAGTTTTTTGCGTGGCTTGTTTTAAACATGATGTATATATATGTTTATTCAATCTACTAAGAGAAAATAGTGGACATCATCTTTAAAACACACATATGTCTCTATAACAATTTAAAATTATACTTTTGACAGTATTTCATCGCCAAAGTTGTTTATTTAATGTGTTTTTTGTTGCACTTCAGAACTGATAATCAGATGTGAAGTTTATTGTATAGTTCAATAGTGTTGTTAGGTGAAAATAATGCAAAATGAAATCATAGATCAATGCACTTAAAAATATAACGTTTGGTACTTCATACCATAGTGTTTTTCATCAACAGGGCCGAGACGAATAATACATGTCTCTCACAGTATTTTGACAACTTAAACTTGTTTGAGTAGTGATTGTGTGTTGAGCCAGGATACTTGCCTATGAAGTGGATGGCAATGCATTAAAACAAGTGCAGGAATCCCAGGGAATAAACAGCTGGCAGAGATTTGCACTAGCTCTAATCTAATCACAACATACAAATTGTTGGTTTGAATTAAAGAGTTTTTGGAGTCTTGTTGTAGCTAATTATACATATAAATTATGTGCAAATCTTAAATCTGGGATTCAAATGTAATTGTTTAAGTGTAGAAATCAGAATGTTTGAGTTTTTCCATCTGGCTTACTTGTGGTAGATGAGCAACGGCATAACAAAGAGCATCTGGAAGAAGCAGCGTATGGCGCTGATCTCTATGGCGTGGACTCCCTGGATGGATTTCACCAAGAGGGCAATGATGGAGAAGAAAACTGTGGACAGGAAAGCATAGAACAAGCCAATACCGGGACATCTCTTTGGTTTCTCCGGGCCTGTGAAAGAGAGAGAAAAGGAGGGGAGTGAGTGTGGGGGAGCAGATGGGGAAAGAGAAGGGCCACTTTACGTGGGGGGGGTCACTGTTCCACATTGGTTATTTTGTTGTACTAATGTTGATACAGTAACTGCAGGATGGGCCAGTGTTATTGAACTCCCTGTGGCCTGGGTAAAAAAAAAAATCAGTGGATAAAACCACAAACAAAAGATTTAAAGGTTTGCAAACCCTGCCTGTGGAGCAATAAACTGATATGCTTGTGGAGATTACATTTCAGCCTGAGGTCACCTGGGCATCTTTCTTTGTATTGGTCCACAATGTGCGGTCTACTTACCATTTTATGTATCACATGCGGTATTTGTTTTCTTAGCCTAGCACCCAGCCGACACATGAATGTCCATTCTCCCTAACCTTTAAGATGTCATATTGTAATAGTGCCTGCACATTTGTTTCTGTATAGAGGGTTTTTATATATATTTAGTTCCAGTATAATGCCTTGTGGACACAGGCAGGATGATTATTACAGTGTTACATCACTGCGTTTACTCTAGTACTAGTGTCATGTTTCAACAGGTACAAAGGCACACTGTTCTATTCCAGAAATATGAGCGCATTTCCCACTTCCTTGTAAATGTACTTAATAAAGCCAAATCACCTTCCTTCCTCATCTAGAGCTACAATGGGAAAACCCCAAATAGTTTCACACCTCTTCTGTGAATGGGCACTTATTTAACGAACTAGAGTATCAAGCAAAATATATCCACATCGACACTGTACCCATATGAATGGAAATGTTTTAAAACTTTCAAACAAGGTCTCATTTATAAGCGTAAAATGCTAAAGGACTACATGCATGGTGGCCCTAGTGCTGTGAAAGTGCACAGTCATCCATCCTCTTTAAGGATGATGCAAATGTTAAGCTGCTTTACAGCAGTTTACCGGCTACACACTCAGCGACTGATTTGCTGATATTTTAGGCACAAACGTCGTGAATGGGAAATGCGCATTATAGTGTATTTATTATTAGGCACGAGCCCTTAATTAAGAGATACAGACTCTTGGTAAGGCAACTCGACATCTACTAGGCCTATAACCGTTAATAAATAACCATAAACTGTGACGTAAATCATATCATGAGATGACGTTTAAATGACGTGACACTTGCGCCAGACTTAAACACAAAGAAAGGCGCCTTAACTTTATAACAATGTGTACAGTGACTTTAACTGTGCTTTCCTTCGACCGCATCCCTGCTTATAGGCTAATGGCCTTCACGTGATATCAGCCACGTTATTACTGATACATGACGTTACCCGGTTGTATAACGTGAGACTATGTCGGAAGTGGCTGCTTATCACGTTACTCCTGCATCTTTTTCAACTCCCCCCCTCAGAAAAAAAAAATCCATCACAAAGTTCACTAACACTGACGCCCGGACGGGAGACGTGTACCACTTCAGTTTAAACGCCGCTGTATTAACTAAGTGCGTGCGGCTCTTCTACCTTCACGAGCGCTTTCTTCTCGGGTTGCGGGCTCGCTTCTGACGCAAAACGCCGGCGGGCACAGCGCGTTCCTCTCGCTGCCTTCCGGGGGATGTTCGCGTCCTCTCGCTTCCTCCGTCTCCTCAGCATCACCGTCGTAGTCACACGACACACGACAGTTGCTCTGCAAGTGAATCCTCTCCGCCGTCCGCTCATCTTTGCCACACTCGTCGTGGTCGTCGCTGCCGCTGTTTGAGCCATGGCTGTCAACTTTGTGAAACACTACGGTAACGTCGTCCTCTACGGATAAAGCCCGCTCGTGTGTGCAGTGGTTACAGTCGCCCATGTTAAGATGAGACGGCTGAGCGACAGCATGCCTCGGACAGAGTGCTGTCCGACTTCTTTGGTGCCCTGAGTGACTGAGGAGACAAGGTTAATGACTAACCTTGGTGGCAGGATACAAACTCCCATGCGGTGGTTACTTTTCCCACAGGGGGGCAGAACTGAACCCAAACCAACTCTGTTGGACAACATTACCCAACGTTAACGCCCATAGAGAGGGAGGTAGTGGGAATTTTAACCAACCAAAACTCAGCTTACACACATTTGAGCTGTATGGAATACATTAATGATTGTAAGAAGCATTGAAACTCCTCATGGTTTCACTTAATATAACCATGACGTACACGACGTGGTGTTGCATTATTAGGAACTTTTAACTCATAATAATGGGATTTTAGGATATTTGACAAACCTAACCATGACTGATGAGTTGTATGCTGGAAGTAACTGGTGTTTTTGTTGATACTGCTGGATCTTTTTTTACCCATAATACATAAATTCATAGTTACACCCTTTCTGTTTACCACCACAGTGGGGTGCCCACAACACACTCACCGGCTCAGTGCACCGAAACATATGAGCTACTGTTAATATCAGCTCAAGAAGAAGTTTATAAGGCCAAGCAAACCCATCAGGAACACATAAAAAGACTATATCTACCATAAGTGAATGAATACCAGTCCAGATTTACTGTGTGAGAAATAAAATAATTTTACTGGCAAATAAAAGAGCAAGAGCAACAATAAAAGAACTAAATGTCTGTTTTAGCGTTTTAGTGTTTTATTACTACTGTACATAAAATACAATGAGCAACATGACAAAGGAGTAGCTAATAACCTCCATCCTTACCTAACTAGATGAGACTGACACAATTAAGCCTATACTGTTCTGCAGAAGTAACGTTACACAGCCTGTAAGGAGGTGATTCTTGTTTTGTTTTTTTCTCATATCTTCACTAAATTCTATATCTATGAAAAATAAAACACCGAGTGTGGTCCCCTCTACATACAAAAAGCAATATCATATAAATTACTTTACACAGTATTATAAAACCGTAAACATTATATTTGGCAAATTGTTGTCAGTGAAGTTGTTAATTGTTATCAGAACTCTGTTTCCTTTGTGTCAGAATAAGAGGACCGCGTGAAAGCACAGGTACGAGGTGCTGCACAGTGGTTGGCTTTTTTAGTTTGCGGAGTAAAGACAACAATGGTTTTTGTCAATGAGGGAGAAAAGGGGCAAGGGTGCAGTGAAAAAAGGGAGGGCTAGGTGACACAGTGGGACGCTTCTAGCAAGTCATTCATCAGGAATCAACACTGTGAGTGTCCGTATCATGCATACAGTCTTGCTCAACTGATGGTCAGACTAGATGTGACAGAGAAGGTTTTTTTTTTCTCAGTTTCTCACAGTGTTTAGTGGATTCTGGATGTCACAGATAGGGTCACTTCTTTAAGTGTAAAGTAATTACAAAAGACTGATGGAACACGGGTTGTCTAGCTGCCAAATTGCACAATAAGAAAGGACATAACTCTCAGCAAATAGTCCAATTTCTACCCACATTTGTGAGATTTAAATGCATAGGACTCCCTACCAGTCAGCCAAATTGAAGGAGCTTTTTGCATGAATGGTGAAATGTTTTTAACTTTAGTATAGTAAATAGAAGATGAGATGAACCTACATAAACAACCCTGCTGCTTCTGTACAATATCCATATATTGCATTCCATGTTGAATAATCTCGTGTAATGCCATTTTACTCTGAAGTCAATTTTCCTGAAGGGCTTTGTTAAATTAAAGACGACTTAAAGAAAATTTGACTCGTGTCTGTAGTTTTGCCCCTTTCTCTCAAGAATATGTACCTACTATTGAATGGTCATTAGCACTCCTAAACTCCTAAGTCTTTCCTATCAAATTCCTACAATAGATACAAAAAAAAATGTATGGAGTTAAATTGCCAAGACATTTGCTGTGTAGTAACTGCAAGTAGACCTGCAGAGTTAAATAACAGACAAAAACTTGTGACTTCATAGCTTGTTTTTCCTGAAAGATAGTCAGTTCACACTTTGAGTGGAATTATGTTTTTGAAATGGAGAATAAAGCATTCCCAAATGGTAAGGATTTAAGTGAAAATACAAGGGGTTTATGAAAATGAAGTAGTTGCTGAACATAGGCATCAGGGATTGTGTAGAATATATTTTCTGTGTCATGGAAATGGTGTCAGACCACTCAGTCTACACTTAACCCAACAGAAAGGCCCCGAATCGTATTTGAAATATCTCTTTACATAGCTGGAGCTCTGGCTTGAAACTTCCCTTTGTTTAAACTCGGGTGGGAATTGCTGGTGGATTCTAATGAGACTGCCAAGTTCAACAAAACCACAGAAGAAAGCATTTGAATGGTAGTGTACATAATGTGTCCCAAACGGATGATGGGTTTAATTACTCAGATCGATCATGAGGTGCTCATATATCTGAGTTTTTCCCTTGAAGCTGGATGCGAGCAGGAACACTCGGTCGTCAATGGAAACCATAGAAAATGCACGAGGCGCCTGGATGTTCAGCTCCTGAGATGGGACAAACTGGCCCCTCTTGGTGTCCCATTGGTAGACCCGCGTCAGTGAATAATCGCTGCCCAAGATGGCATACTGCCAGTTGCCGATGGAGACAGGCTGGAACACCATAGAGCCACGGGAAGGAAATGTCTGGACCTCTTTGAACATGGCTCCGTCCCAGCGCATCACCTTGGAGTCCCCGATGAATCTTGTCAAGCATATAAACAGCTCACCTTTGAAAGGGACAAGTATTCAAGGGACTGTTTAGTTTACACATTCAGCTTCTAAATCTGGATCTGACATAGAAAAGCTTACAAAAACAGTTTATGTAATTCTAAAATAATTCATAGCTCGTTATGAAACTTAGGAATAAGTCACTAATAGATAACATGTCCCTTTAGAAAGAAGAAATACAGAGAATATTATACAGGTTTTTATAGCAGTTGACAGTGATATTACCTCTTACCCCCTTCAAAGCAAATGCCTAGGATGTGCCAAGGAATGAGGAACTATAGAGCAATAAATTACAGCTTAAAGTGTGAGTCATTGTTCTCTGGCAGTGTTTTTTTCTATTAAATGAACAATACTAAAGGAAATGTTGACCCTGGATCAAAGTCCCCTGCTAATCATAGCCCACACGCTGATTACTGAAGTGAAAGTACTAATACCACACTGTGAAAACAAACAGAAAAGGTCCCTGTCAGTGTTTTACTATTATATACAATGTTTTTTAATTAATATTACTGCTGCAGTAATGTGTTTGTTGTATTTTACTGCTGTAGCTGTTTAAGGTTGAGCTCATTTTAAGTGGTTTATTTATCTTAAGAAGAACATTTTCTAAATCCATAAACTTAATCCTTTAGTTTATCAGACAAATGTAACCAAATTTGGAGTTACATGGTTTTCCCTGGACAGAAGAGGTATGAAAAACTGTCAGACAAATGTAATGAAGGAAAAAGTACAATATTTGCCTCTGAGATGTAGTTGAGTACTAGCCTAAAGTAGTCTGAAAAAGAAATACTCAAGTAAAGGGCAAGTAAGTTTGTTGAGTTTGTATACCATACTTAAGTATGTATTCAGTTACATTCCACCACTGGACACACCCCAGACTTACTGCATAATCCTAGCATTAAACACTGAAAATGGTATCTACAGTACATGTATTGTATATGCAGTGCTGCTCCAAGGACAAACTAACTCACATCCACTGATGCTGTGATACTACAGTGTGCACATGTCTTTTTAGTTAGTGAAAAATAAACCCTGCGTGTGTACCTTTGACCCAAAAGTGTTTGACAGAGAACACGTCCTCCATGTCTGGTATGTCAGTCCTGCGGTCAAACTGTTTCTGGCCCCTGTTCCACTGGTAGACAACAGGCCTCTGGGAGCTGCTGGATAAGATCAGGTGAGGTTTGTTGGAGATCTCCAAATATTCTACATCTGTGTCACGGAACCACGGGTGGAGTGACTGGTGGGAGTAGAAGCCGTTGCCGTTCCATTTGTAGACTGTTGTGGAGCCGGCCTGTGAGAGAAACATGTAGAAAATGTTAACTCAAGTCAACTTTATTCAAAACACAACTCACTGTGACACATACATTCGGAACTAAGTGATTAATAGAATCTACAAAAACAGTGTATGTGGCCAAACATGAGTGTGTGTATGTGTGTGTGTGCGCGTGCATGAGTGTCCCCAAACATATGCGAGAGCATATGCGAACATTTGGCAACGCCAGGGTAATCAGCAGAAGCAGATGCAAACAGACTGCTCGAGAGAAAGGACACCAGGGGGACAGACTGGCTGACATGGTGAGAAGAGTAATTTAGAAGAGCAGTATGCATGCAGGGGCTGGACAGAATAACAGGAACACCTGTACACTATAATGTAATCAGATACCATGAAATGATTCTTAAAGCCCTGATCAATTACTTGTGAGTGTTGGACAAGCAAAAGTAGCCAACCTTAGAGCTGTCAGCGATGACAAAGAAAGACTCTCCGTCGATCATGAACGTCTCTATGTCGTTAGGTTTACGAATCTTCAGGATGTCAATGTCCTGGATCTTGATGAACTTGTTGGCCGAGGTGTCACGTTTGTAAATGTGCGAACCCCCAAACAACTGGGCCACGATAACAAAGAGGTGGTTGTCAATCACCATGGGCTTGCAGACCACAGTGGAGGTGCCTAAGCAAGAAAAGAGAAGGCGATGCACATAAAAACATTATAGAGTAATTGTCTACTCTCTCACTCTAATTTGTTTTGCATCCTCCTAAAGAGAACCTAACCACACTGACAATCAATCAATATACAATTCCTCTACATCTTATTTATGCCCCCTTTAACAAATTCCTATTAACATTACCATTTGAGGTTTACTTGTTTTTTAGCTCACTTTCAATGGTGTCATAGGTTCTGAAGGTCATCTCGACATGATCCCATTCCAGGAAACTGCACGTCCCAGCAAAGGGTTGGGCAAACACAACATACTGATCTGTACCGAAGGTGAAGGCCTCCACCGAAATTGACTCAAACTTCAGCGACTGATAGGAAGCAAACTCTGAAAAGCGTGACATGGCAGTGAATAAGACATAAGAGATCAGTCACAACAGTAGTCACAATAAGAGCAGGAAGGAAACAAGAGAGTGAAAATGGTGAGGCAGTTAACTGCTTACAGAGAGCCATTGTTAGTATAATGCCTCTATAGCAGGGGGCCAGACACGGGAAGATGATACCTGCTGTGATGCAGTCAAAAGATTGTGGCAGCAGGTCATTGAGCTTCTTCCCCTGGTTAATTGGCGGGCTGCTGCAGTAGATCTGGTCCAGGGTGGCATTAGTGTTGTGCATCCACTCCACCAGCCACTTGAGCTTGCAGTCGCATATCAGGTTGTTGCCCCGTAGATCCCTTCATGCATTTATGAATCACATGGGACACAGTTAACACATAATATTTACTATTAAAACATGTATTTTAAACATATGCTTTATATTTCAAGTCCCTGCTCAGTGACTGCTCACTCTACTGCTGTCTGCCTCTCCGCTCCTTGGCTGCACATTGGCTTCGAGCCAGGGAAGGCACAACAACAAGTGTCCTATCTCCTGAGTAGTCTGTGCTCGTCGCCCACTCTCAGTCTGAATTGCTGTTGACCTTGGATGTGTGTTCTGAATCCTCACAAGTGTAGCCTGCATTATTCCAGCTGATTGTGGCAGCCAGGATTCAATTCTTTTCTCTGTAACTGTGTTTACCTTTTACCCTGGCATCCCAACCCGAGCTTTCCCTTTTCTCTCCTTTACTTCTTTACCTTGTTTTTCTTTTCTCCACTGCAGCAGGGAATGGATTCCTCTAGAAATGTTTATTTTCTTACTCTGTTTCTTTACTGGCTTCTTTCCTTTACATCCTCTGTCTAGTGTTGGAATTGTTTTCCCTTTTAGCACTCTAACCTTATAATATTACTGTACTTAATCCCACAGTTTTAGAAAAGAGGGAGGTAGACAAAAAAGGATTATGCCATATATCTCTTCCCACCCCTCCCCAATGAATCACTACAGTACCAACAAATATTACATTTGAGCTCTATTGTTCCATTATCCTACTTGGCTATTTCAGAAAAGAATACCAATCAAGCAAACTATGCTTGATTGAAATCAACAGAGTTACACACATAAATCCACAGAAATGGCGGTTTTAGAATCAATCAATCAGAAAAGTATTTAATCAACTGATTACTAAATGTTCTGTCCCAACAAAACACCCTGTGTGAGAGACAGACTCAACTCACACTTTGGTCAAAGCATCCATGCCCTTGAAGACATCTTTGGGCAGCGTCTCAAGGTTGTTGTAAGCCAGACTCCTAATCAACAAAAAGCAAAAAAGAATACACACAGTCATTGAATTGGAGCTAGACTGTCTCTCTCCACATAACAGACACTGAGTCATTACACTCTATTATAGGCTTTTCATTTGCTCTGTAAGCCAGCTTCAATTGAGTAAGAGTATAACAAACAAATTCCCCTACCAATAAAAACTACAAGGAACCAAATGTAAGCGAGGCACAAGTCAGAATGTCTATGCCCTGACAATATTTATAGGACAAAGGGCTAAGTGGTGAAATGGAAGGGCATTAAATCATTAGTGGTTCGGTAATTAAGGGAGAGCAATTACACTGAGTATAGGGAGGGAATATAATTTCTTTGCAGGGTGACATGCTGTTCTTTACACACCAAGCTTATCCATTACATGGAGACGCAGATGGTGGTATTTAATTCCCCTAATATTGGTCATACTAAAAAGCAGTAATGTTGTTTTATGTTTTCGACCAGCTTAAACAGTGCTCTACTCTTCTCCAAGGCTGTCAAGTGGATGATATCTTTGCTTTCTTTAAAACCAACCAACCAAAACTGGCCCTATAGAGACATTTCATTTTTGGGAGCGAGGGGCTAAACTTCAAACCAGAAAGAGATGTGAGTGAAATGAAATGTCGGCGTAATTCATGAGGGCTGCATTATTTATCTGAGAGTCGGTTTTCCAGGGAGAGAGGCCATTTTGCTTTGAGTTTGTGGAAGAATGCACTCTCCAAACAGAGCGGCAGAGTGGACCTGATTCCAGCAGGAACCCTGCCTGTGCCCCTTAATAATATATTTACTGTATGTGATGCACTTAAAATTCCCCCTAATAATGCATTTATTCATGATTTTATGTAATGAAAGTTTGTTTATTTACTCAAAAACTAGCGTTCGTGGAACAAGAAAAGAGCACCTTATCCCACCCTTCCATATGACTTTCTGAGTCGTGTTAGAACAGATTTTAGTAAACCTTAACTTACATTTGGAGCTGTTCACACATTATTGGTTAACAGCAGCTTAAATGCAAATTGATTCAATCCTAGATGAAAGACTCTTGTCCCAACAGTCATTAAGGGCTGGTCTGTTAACAAGATCCCTTCCAGTAGACGGTAAAGTTACAGCTCTGATTATGTCAGACAACAGTCAAACAGAACATGACGCCTGTGGAGACTCTTTGTTTACATATAGTATGTTGGTTTAAGTATGATACTGTCTTTCCTGATTCTCTTATCGCCCCCCCCACACACACACACATAAATCTTCTTCCTTTTATTACCAAGATTTTACATTAGTTGATGGACATGTCCATTCAATAAAAAGGCTGCGAGCAACAGGCACATTAACTTAGCTTAGCTTAGCATAAAAGCCGAAAACATGAGAAAACACCTAGCCAGCCTCGGTCTAAAAAAACCCACCACCTCTAAAGCTCCCTAATTAACATGCTGTATCTCTTTTGTTTAAATTCGTACAGAAACCGAAGTGTGAAAATGACACGCTGTGACTTGGATGCATGGGGTTATGGGCGGAACTATCTCTTGGCTGGGGCAGTGACTTGCAGGAGTTGCCCTGGCAACCTCACAGACAATCCTCCAGAAAGTCACTAATGAACTTTCCCAGCTGTTTCCCCCATTTACAGTCTTGGTGCTAAGCTAAGCTCACCGACAGACTGACAGCGGTATCAATCTTCCATGGAACTAGAAGAAGAACACAAATCAGGCTGTTTCCTAAAATGTCAAACTGCCTTTAAAACTGCATTTAACTCAGGGCATTACAAGCCTTGGAGTAAAACACTAATAACAGCTTTTCTAGATTTACAGAAGAAAGTAGTTTTTATAGTAGTTTTAATAGTGAAGCATATCTTGGTCTGAATGAAGTCACTGCTTTCTCTCTCAGAGCATTGGTTGGATAGCATTTTCTCTCGTGTTGATTGTACCCTTATTAATGTGATGTCTGCTGCAAGAGTCATCAAGGCAACAATCCCTCTGATGTGGATCGTTACATGCTGTCTGGCAGCTTCTACCAGAGAACTCAGTGTCAATAATATCCATCAGTGCTCAAGGCGCACATTAATGCAGACCCTTATCAAGCCTAGGACAATCTTATGGATGTATTTGCTTGAATTTCATTGTGTGAAGTTATGCTATTGATGTGTTTAACCCTTTTATTTTTGCTATATCCCAGCATATGTAACACATTTTATTTATTTCCTCTACTGTCTGATACTGTACATGAGGGATGGGGCACATCCCTTAATACTGTATCTAACACTAATATTTGCATTTATTTAATAATGCTTCTTTGTCTTATCATCAGAGTTTTACATTCTCTCACCTAAAGCATGCATGAATAAATGCTGATAAACTGTTAAACCTCTCATATTTGAGTTTGTTCCTCTGAAGAACAAAGTGTCCTATATTTGAAAATATGATAGGGGGAAGTTAAGAATCACCCATCCATTCAGACATCAAGTCATGCATGATGTGGAACGCAAGTATTGACCCATTTGGCTGCACTAGCATAAACCTGAAATGTGTTAGGAACGACCTCTCAGAGGCTTAGGGACAGATTATAGGTCACTCAGTTTAAGGTTACAGTACAGTTATATTTAGCTGTGACCTACAGGTCACTCACATTCTCACCTATCTTTAGTTTTGGCAAGCTGGAATGTAATATAGTGTTTACAAAAACTGTTTTTAAACTGTTGTTCAGCTGTTTCCCAAGTCAAGACTTTGTCAGCATAATTCATGTTAACAAGTGATGCTATTTTTTGAAATATTTCCTAAAAACCATGAAAACAGATACAATACATATATGCATTGCTTACCATACTCATAATATACCCCACAGCATTAATCTACTTTTCAATACCAATACCAATAACTACATATTAAGAAAGTAAAGCTATATGACAGCTAAAGTCACAAAACCATTCATATTTGTGTGTCAAAAATGCAATGCAACATCCAGATCTGCCCTTCAGCAACCTGATCCAGCTGACACCTTCAGCCAGTAACCTTGGACATCTCCACTGGCAACAGCACTTCTGTCTACCTTAGCATTTCAGGCACTGACAAAGTGATGCAGGGAGAGAAAACAGGAAATTGATTCACAGTTTTATGTTAGAATACCTTGAATACTAATATCACATTACCTCTCCCTCAGAGAAAATACTTAACCAGAGAATGTGAAAGTGGCTACGCTGATTGTTGATGATTAGGGGTAACGATAAAATAATACGTTTTAAAAACTGGAAAGGCAGGAAGGAAAAAGAAAAAGATAAAGATAGACACGTTTTCTTGGACAGGAATAAAGGAGTAAGGATGTTTTCCATGGCCACCAAAATACTTACAGATGTATCAGTGCTTTCAGGCCCCGGAAAGCAAATGGGGATATCGATGCAATTTTGTTATTTTCAATAAATCTGTGAATGAGACATATTTTATTAGCATCTTCATAGATTAAGATAGTTGAACTCTATGTAAGTAATCCCCACACAAATATTAAATATACTGTGACACTAAAAAACTGAAATCCTTTCTGCACATCTTGTCTCTATGCAGATGCAGCAGTTACAGTGGGTTGTATATCTGGTAGATTAATTCAGGAATAAATGTCAAAATGAATTATATTTTAAAGGCCCCGCAACAACCAACCAGGTGTTTTCAGTTAGTCTACTGTCGCTAATTAGACTTGTGCTCTGGCTGATGTTGGGTGGAGTTACGATAATGTCAGCAAAATGTATGAACTAATAAGAATCATGAAGATGAACGCTGCCCTCCCCCTAGTCAGGCAACATAAGTGAAAACACCTGTGTAGGGCTCAAAAATGCCAGCATGCATGCCAATATTGCTTGATTGTTGGTGTGGTGTAACAAAAATAGAAAGTAATACATCTTTTTGCTCGTTACTCGATAACCAACATTTCGATTTCAAAGCTGCGTACACCTTGCATTAACTCCTATCACTGACAGCATGCAATTGGAAAACAGTTTGACCTTTCACCTCACAGATGTATATATATCAACTATTTACAAATTAAAGATCAGTACTTACAGATATTCAAGGTGTGGTAAACCCTGGAATGCATCCTCATCAATTAGGTCAAATGAATTTGCTGTGAACAATCTGTGAGGGGAAAAAAAGAAAACTGTAAAAAATGTGTATAATTGATTTATGATTTTACTATAGTTCCCACAGTGTTTGGGAACCAAAAACCTTGTTGTTGTCTGTGGACTGTGTTGAACTTCAACAGTCAGTGGGGAGAAAATGTTAAGATTACAAAATACAACATAAACAGATAAAAACAAAACCTGTCAGTGTGTCTTTAAACTCATTTCATCATACTGGGATAAATAACATCAGTAAGTCCAACACAGAGGGAAAGAAAGGGTGTGAGAGTTACTGTGACAGACAACAGACTCATTCAGCATCTCTGCCCACAGTATGTGGTTAAAGAATGAATTAAATGAATAAAACAGAAGAATGGCAGATCACTCCTACATGGTTTTCATGAAATGAATGAAAGAGAGAAATGGATGCCTCCTCCCACGTTCCTGAGTCACCCTTCAAACCAGTAATGTAAGAATAGTGTCCACCAATAATACATTGTGTATCTCACTGCATCTGCTCATTAAATCTTATCACAAGATTGTTGGACCAACAGTCCTCTTCCATGGAGGCGGCCCTTAAACTGCTATAATGGACAAACCAAACACTGGCCCTAGATAGGGCCTTTTGCTTTTTTGTGTAGTTTTCGAGTTTTGTAGCCACTGTGATTTCTCCTACTAGTGTGTTAGTTACCACTGTTGGTTGACTATATCCTCAAAATAAGTTCAATCTCATTAATACTGCAAAACTTTTCAATCCTGAAACGTCCCTAAAAAAAAGACACCAAGATGTCAAAATGCTATATATAAACTCCTCATGTCTATTTCTTACTGCACGCTCAGGAAGCCAGCAACCCTTTACACCCACAACGTTGGTCATAGAGAAGCCCCATTGATTAAGTAGCACTCTAATGGAGGTTAAGATACTTCAGGTCACCTTGGCAGTAAATAATGAGAGGGGGGCGATGCTACTCATTCACTTTACCGAGTTAAATTTATCCTCCTTCTGCTCACAAGCCTTCGTGCACACAACCAGACTGATTGAGTCTCATATGGAAGAACTGATGCCAAGAAAAATGTTGAGATGAAATGATGCTTGGTAACAGTGTGCTGTTATGTGTGATTAGAGAGCGCAGTTAAGCCTGATTTGCAATAACACATTTATCAACACACTCTAGTCTCACCAAGATATATAATAACAATAAAAGTAATATTAAGCAACCCCATAGTTCTGTGTGTGCAACTATTATTTTACTGTTATTCTCTTTTTTTACAAGAGCTATCTTTGGAGGAAAAAAAAAGAACATGTTCATTATTTATCTCTGCCTCTCTGTATCTTCCCAGGAAAAACACACATAGCTGCTCTCTCCCCAACCCCTGCTGTTAGTCGCTGTAGCCATGTGGTCTATTGCATAATCCTGACACCATTACAGAGAATCCCCCTTTAAATCTGCATATCAGCCTCAATACAAATCCTCTGGGGAGCTCCTGCCTTATTGTTTGAACACTGATAATAGATTTACACCCAGACAGACAGACAGACAGACAGACAAATAGACAGACAGGCAGATAGATAGATAGATAGATCTATACTCACAGCAGTTGCAGGGCAGGCGTGTAAACAAAGCTTCTTCCTGTGATTTCATTAAATCCAGACTTGACAAACGATCTGAATGGATGGAGAGACACATATTAAGGAGGGATTGAGTTGAATGCATTAAAATAAATACATAATAAACAATAAAGATGAAATCTGGGTGTACTGAAAGGCAGAGAATGATTGTTTTCATAAGCTTTTCCTGACAATTCACCACAATAAAAGGCACAGTAAACGTCAGAGTCTGTTCGGGACCACTTACAGTGAAACGACGTCGGATGGGAAAGTGTGAGGCACAGATCGGACATTCTCGCACAGGGCGTTATCTTTGGTGCAGGTACATCCAACGGGGCATCTGGGCTGCCTCACTCTCCGTCCGTCTGCTAAAACCAAGCTGACAGCGGCGACCCAGACCAGGAGCGTCCATCCTTTCCATCCTCTCCATCCTCTCACTGCTCTGCCCGGGTATCCCATTCCTTCTGTCCCGGTCGAGTACTATCACTCCTGCACATGCAACTTCTCGGCAAAAAATCCTCCACGGTTAGGAAATATTAAGTGTTTTTGATTTTGTTTTGTTTCTTTGTTTTTTTTAAATGAATAGTTTTCTGGATCGTTTAATGACAGAAGCTGGTGTTGGTGCGCTCTGATGCAGGCTTGTGTCTATGCTTCTTGCGTCTCAATAGGAAGGCACCAGTCCAGCGGATTCGTTCTGCAAGGCGCAGGATTACAAATGCGGGGACAGACAGGACACGAGCACAGAGAACACTCTCAGGTTTTCTTTCACTAAAAAGGGAATTCTCTTCAAACCTCCCCGAATAAAACACCCCGCCGCTTCAAAATCTGCTCTATTTCTTATTAGTTTTTACAAATAAGTTGTTCCTGTAGGCTATACTCAACGTTGCAGCCATGAAAAGGGGTGAAAATAAAAGCGCAAATTCCCGTGAGAGAGCAAGAGGAAGCGAAGAAAGGGAGAGATGTAGGAGGAGAGAGGGGGAGAGAGGTCCCAAGGTGCGCTTTTTTTTATCAGCACTGCCAGCTATTATTTATGCGCGCTTCAGAGCCGCGCATGGTTAATGGGAAGCGGCTATTCATGAGGCTCTGTGCAAATGCACCTGCCTCACTCATTCAGAGGCTTTTCTTCCCTGCGTTGGCATAATAATGACATTAACCGTGGAAAAGGAGATGAGTTTAAACCCTATGCTTTAAAATAAACATGTAATGTTAATTCGGTGATATTGTGCCATAAAACGGGCTTGGTAAAGTAGGACCTACTGAGATTATGACGCAAAAACCTAAAAATGAATAGCATTAATTAAAATGTTATTTATTTTATTCCTAGAAAATCTCCCTCTTAGTCTTAACTTCTTAACACAGTCTTAACAGTCTTAACAGATAATAAATGTATGCTATAAACCATGTGGTATATACATGATAACTCAGCACTGAATTTCATAAATATTTCTGCTTTTCTTCAGACAACAACCGGATGAGAGTCCTTCATGCTCTTTATAGCATTTGTCTGTCCCTTCCTGTCTTTCTTCAATCCCACACTGAGTCCTTTGTTGAGTTCAGTGGGTCGTGGAAAAGTCATAAAACACTGGACTTCTGTTCCCGGACTGTGGCGAACTTTCACCTCTGCCAACCCCTAATAACCCCAAGTAGTCAATTATACAGAAACATTCAAATAGCACAATGCCCTCTTTATTTTCCATCTACAGATCAAACGCCTACATGCATCCTCTCGACGATGTCCTTCAAAGGAAATTAACGATATAAATAGCCAATTAATCAGTGTAATTGGGGCCATTTGTTTAGAATGAAAGTCAATGTCAGTGTACTCTTCCTGCCCCCACCCTCCAAGTAGATTATTCACTGGTCCACGGTTTGTGGTGATTGTCCTCCAATAAATATTTTTTTTAAAAGGTTAATGGGTGAATACTGGTATTCATATAGGCGTGACACATAAAGGAAGCTCCATTAGGTTACAATGGAAGTAGAATGCCTTTATTGTCACTATACACATGATACAATGAGATTAAAAGCCAACT